GCTCTGGAGGTTCCTTTACTGTCCTGCCGGTGTCCTCTCTTCCCAGATGCCAGAATGGAGCTGGAAGATTGCTGAGGCCAATTTTTCTCATCACTGGAGTTCATCGGAGTGCTGTTGGTGCTGAACTTAAACAACCAATTCTGGATTTCAGGTCTGCGGGGTTGGTATAAATACGGGGGATGTGGAGAGCAGACCCAGCTCTAATGGGGACATGTGAATATGTGCACAGGACACCCACACCTCCACCATGCAGCCCTCTAGGATCAATCAAGGAGCACCCAGAGTTCCCTGGGATGGCTCTTGGAGCACTGTACTATGTGCCAGATGTCCCGCCTCTAAATGGCCATTGAGGCCTGTGTCAAGGGGCACCAGACCGAATCTCATGTTATTTGACTTCTGAACACCTATCTTCTCTTGGTGGGCTAAGGGACTTTGAAAAATTGCCACCTGGTAAAGGGCAAATGATGAAACGCAGTAGTCTCCTGGCCAGGCCGGGTTGGCTCTATTTTCTGTTTCCGGTGTGCATACACCCATACCTCTGAGTCCCAGATGTTACAGTCAGCATAGGCATGGATGGGGCAGCATGGGCACTGGCCATCTGGTCTCAAGGGATGAATCTAGAAGGGTCACACCACCACTGCCCAACTTGAACTCTAAGCCTCGCTGCTATGGGTCAGCCAAGCACATCTACCTCAATCTTTGGGATGTGCCTGTCCCCCAACCCAGACTAACCCTGCCTTAGGCTCCTGGAGCAATCTTCCACAGTGGCAGGAGGAGGTGCTCCGTATAGGGAGCAGCGGGCCCCACAGTGCGGACCCCTCCCTATCCTGATGTTTGGCATTGTTGCCATGGGCACAAAGTTGTTCGCACCTAAAAGCTACAGTGGTGGAGGCTAGTGATTCCTGCACCCGAGAGTGTGGGCCTAGGGTGAGGGGTGACCCCTATTCCCTACCCCCAACCCCCAGTAATATCCTGGGCTCTCTGATTCAAATTCCCCAGCCCCCAGAGATCATGGCTTCTGGCTGGAAACCCCTGCATGCCATGGAGGGCAAGGGAGGAACCCCTCCACGGCCCTCCCCTCCCTCTCCTTGAAAGCTCTTCCCCTCCAAGGTGGACTCCAGGCCCCCCTCCCTCTCTCCCTCCCCAGAGCGCTGGGAGCGAGGATGCTAGAAGCGTCTCACCCCAGTGTCCAGTAAAGGGAATCTCTCTGCGCACGCGAAGCCTATGCAAATAATGGCGCAGAGCACAACTTCTCAAAAACTAAAAACAAAATTCATTTATTGAAAAGGAAAATTTCAATCCATGATCCGTGTGCAGAACTCAAAGCAAGGTCTTCTATTGACTCTGCACAAATCCCCATTTGTACCTGGGCCACGCTGAAGGGACCCGTCTATGCAGGCGCTCAGCATGCACAGCACCGCCCAGCTCCCAGGCCCGCTGCAGGCGGGTGCGTCCCAGCCCGCGCAGGCACACCTCCAGCGACGTGGTTAAAGCTAAGTCCCCTGACTGTTCATGGAACGAAAACCGCTTCCCCAGCATCACCCAGATTCAGACACATGGTTTACAGCAGGAACCCCCCTCCCCACCCCCTCAGTCTGGTACCCTCCCCATCAGCACCATTCCTGTCCCCTTGCCAGGGAATGATCCAGGGGCACAAATGCCAGGGGAGGGGCATCCTGGGTGGATGCTGTGCAAAGCAGCTGGCTGGCCCTGATAGCTAACCGTCCCAGACGGTGATGTCCAGGGCCAAGGGTGCCTCCCCGTTTCCCCTTAAATGGCTATGTATTTGGAAAGTGGGATTCTAGGCAGATATAGAGCCGTCTTGTCATTGCCAGGCCCTGCCCTACGGCTCAGGTTACCTTGGGGCCTGAGACACCCAAGCCTGCCTTTGCATCTGACCCACCTGCTGAGACAGATCCTCTGGCTGCCAGCAGAGCTGTAAACATAGACAAACATAGACAGAGGGCCTGCCCTTACAAAGAGCCCGGGGCGGGTGAGTGGGGGATCATGTAGTGTGACAGAGTGGGCAGTCCACCATGCAGGATGGAAGCCCTTCGGGGAAGTTGAGACAGAAAAGAGGAGCGGGGAGATGGCATCTGCTCAGGGTTGAGACTTTAGAAGTACAGCTACAATTCCAAGTCCCCTTCCAGGCCAGTGGGCAAGTAGCTCCAGCCCGTAGGTACGGCTTGGGGGGGGTTGGCACAGGAGAGGGTGGGAAGGGAGATGCGGCGACCCAGCTAAGGCAGGTTCACATGCACATGCATCAGCAACACACTCGAAGACGGCACTTGTGACTGCTGACAGCTCAGGGCAGAGGGAACAGGACTGCCAGGCCACGTTCTTCCCGACACTGTCTACTTATGGCTGGACGCTTGCTCCCGACAGCCATGTTTGCAGAAGAGGAGAGAACCAAGGGGGAGGGGTGCTCTGGGAAGCCACCTCTGGGCGTGGAAATGAAGCGGGGGTCTGGAGGGCCACAGAGAATAACAGTATCCCCCAGAAAACCTGCAGGCCCTGCCTCAGGGGGCTTCTGGTTTCCAGCAGGAGCCAGAGCCAGCGCCCTAAGCAGCAAGGAGAGCCCAGAGACGGTTCTCAGCCTGAACAGCCCAGTGGGCACAAGAGACCCTGGGCTGGCCCCGAGCAGGGGCGGAGGCTTCCACCGGTCACTTTCTGCTTCACTCGACACCTCGGAGCTGGGCATCTTGCCTGACCCTTCTGCACTGGCCACACACTCAGCTCTCAAAACAGCAGAAGCACAGGGAAGAGGATCCATGGGCTCAGGCCAGCCCAAGTGAGCGTCCAGTAGCTGGGGTCCGTTTCCTTGCCACGTCCTCTGGGCCGGGGACTTTGACGCAAGAGCTTGCATTGTATCAAGGGACGGGTGGAGCCAGAGGGTTCTGTCCAGTGTGCCAGCAGCAAAGTCTAATCTCAGAACTCCCTGAGGTAGGTCTGACCCCCTCCAGTGGCAGACCCCTTCTCAACAGCGAGGCCTCTGGGCCGCTGGACCCAGGCTCATCCACAGGAGTGAACCACGGTCAATGCACTTTGGTGACACCTAAGCTTGGGACTTGCGGACCAAAGGCTCCGCTGCTCACTCCGGCCTGAGCTGTGGGCATGCTAGCAGCTGCTAGTGACCACCAGAGAGCGGAGAGTCTGGGGAAACATGCCATTCTCCCAGGGAGAACTCGTCACCGATGACCAAGTCTTCCTAGCCTAACAGCCTCTTTCCCTAGAAGTCAGCGTGCTCTCGGGCTTTGGAGGAGAAACGGAGAAGGAGGCTGAGCCCACGAGGGCAGGTCACAGCCCTTGCCAGCCTGGTGGGTTTCCAAAACCCAAACACCAAACCCTGGTGAGTGTGTTTCCTTCCGTAAACCGGCTTCTGAGCATGCCTGGAGACATTCCTAGCAGGCAGCAGGGTGGTGTGTGACAGACAGACCCAGACAGACACACACACACAGCTGAGAAGATGAAGAGGGCTTCTCACACCACGAGGGAAGAGGAGACAGCCCACAGCAAGGCCCGGCACCCTCTTCTGCTGATCCTGAAGCTTGTTCCCACACCTACAACGTGGCCTCGAGGCGTGCCAGCCTCGAATCCATTTCTGACCCCACCAATTAGTGTTTTGAACACAGGGAGCAGGTGTCCCGGCCAAGTGGTTCCTTCACAGGTCCAGGTGGTGGAGGCAGTGCCAGGCTTGGCCCCGGTGCTGCCTACCCCCTGATTGTAAACAGCCAAGCACCGCATGTAGTGCACACTCCAGAGACCAGCTTCGGTCTGTGCACGCCGACCTTCACTGCTGGACCACGGCAACAGCTACTGGACCCAGCCACCCTTCCTCTTGTCACAGGTCTCAGGCTACAATGAGCCCTGAATCCACAAAACAGCCACTGTCTAAGCTTCCCATGACAGACAGAAACACAGCCAGCCTGGCTGTCCTACGCTGTGGCCCAGTGGACCGAGAGTGGTGCCGAGCCAGTCGACCCCTTCTCCGGTCGGTGGATGAGGGCAGACCCCAGGCCGCCCTGCAGAGGTACACACACTGAGAAGACGCCTGACTCAAATCGCCGAGGGGCCCGGCCAAGAGGGCCTTGGATCTACACAGACTTGTCCTGGAGGTACTTCCTATTTTTAAGAAGATTATTGAGGAAGAAACATAACCCCCGAGCTGGGGAGCGTCTCTAAAAACCCAAGCTCATGTTAAATAAAATATAAATATGTTCAAGGTGGGCAGCTCGTGCTACCTTTTGAAGAGCCGATGCAGCTGAGGATACAACAGTACTGTGAGCCATTCTGAGGGTGGGTGACAGAGAACGTGTGGCCCTGCGGGTCACATTAAGCCAGAGAGAGTTATGTTGAAAAATTCCAGCTCTGGAGGCTGGCTTTAAACTACTCGGTAGGCCCAGCCACCTCCTACAGAGTGAACTGAGGTGCAGCATTTGGGAGGGAGATAAGGAAATGGTCAACAACAACAGCAAACACACTCGCTGCCATGGAGACCACTGTAATGCAGAGTGGCCCCTGCGCAGAGGGACAGAGTAGAACTGCCCCTGGTGGGTTTCCGAGGCTGTAACTCTGTCCTGGAGCAAAAAGCCTCAACTTCCTCTCACGGAGCCGCTGGTGGATTCAAACTGCTGGCCTTGTGGTGAGGCAGCCCAGCACCGTAACCCACTATGCCACCAGGGCTCCTGGTAGAAGTGGTAGACCTGGCCATCTAAGAGGGAGAGTCCCTCCATGAGTAGTCTAAGCCTGGCTGAAGCCAGGAGCGGACAGGAGGAGTGACACACATTTCTAAATGACTCCAGGGAAGCAGGTCAGAGGGAGGAGGCCTGAGCGGGGAAAGAGCCGAGAGCTCTGGATAAACATGTGGACATGCACAGTGACGCCACTAGTGGTACCTGCCGGGTGTCAGCTCCCCGTCCCTCTTCTCCCTCAGCCTACCTGGCCCCACGTACCCAGAGCCAGACAGAAAGTTCCCAGACTGCACGCCTGCCTTTCCCCAGAGCCTGGAGTCTCCTGGGGCTCTGAGGACAGGGACCAGTAGGGGGGGTCGCAGGGTAGGGTTGGCTGGGGCAGCCTTTGCACCAAGAGCCTACACAAAGGCACTGGTGGAGTTGATGACGATGGGGCCGTTGATTGGCTGGATGAGCTCGTAGAGAGCCTGGTAGGTGCCCACCACGAAGCCCACAAAGCCCAGGATGCTGATGAGGGCGTCCTTGGCGATGGTGAGGGGGCTCATGCCCTCGGAGTAGTAGGTGGTGATCTCCAGGAGCGGCGGGATGATGAGGGCCAGGGCGCTGCTGCTCACGGAGCCCACCAGGGAGATGACCAGGTCCAGGCGGGGGATGAGGATGGCCAAGATGCCTGCGGGAGAGAAGACCTGCTCGTTCAGGGCTGCCCCGAGCGACGAGAGACTTATCCATTGCTGAGAAATTGTACAGAACGCCGTGCATCCCACAGAACGGAGGACTCCCAGAAAATGGAGGCATGTCTAGCCCGATGGACTCTTTCTAACTGCTGGGCTCCAACTGGAGGTTCATGACCCTTACTACTGAGGCAATGAGGAGAACGCATTGATGACCTCCCTGGCCCCTAGGCGAGGAGCCTGGTGACCTGGTGATTGTGTGGTGGGCTGGTAACTGCAAGGACAGCAGTTTGAAATCACCAGCCCCTCCTCAGAAAAAAAGATGGGGTTCCATTCCCGAAAAGAATTACAGTCTCAGAAACTCACAGGGGAGAGTTGTACCCTGTCCTAGTAGGTGGCTCAGAGTGGGCACCGACTTGATGGCAGTGAGCTTGGCTTTGGTTTATAGTCATTGTGCCTAGTGGCTACCACACTGGAGAGCACACACGTAGGATGTTTCCATCAAGACGGAAAATTCCAGCAGGATAGGACGGCATGGCTGCGCATTAACGCACTGAGATGACGCCACTACGTTAAATGTGCATGTAAACAGACCAAACACTCAGCAAAAACACCGGGTGCTGTTGAGTAGATTCCAACTCATCCTAACTCCATGTGTACTGAGTAGAACCGGGCTCGATTGGGTTTTCCAGTTTGTTTGTTTCTTTCTTTTTTTTAACAGTTTTATTGGCAAATCATCCAGTGATATAAAGAGGTTGAAAGGAGTTGTGCAATCATCAGCAAAATCAGTGTTAGAACATCATCTTCATTCTTGTACCCATTATTATTAATTCCCCATTATAACCATAACCCTAAGGAACTATTAATCTAGTTACTGTCTCTATGGATTACCCAGCGTGGATTCCATATAAAGAAAATCATCCTAAAAAATCCCAACAACAAAATAAAGCACAGAACAGCCTCGATCCAAAAGAAAGCAGACGATAATAAAAACTAGAACAAATTCAAAATGAGTCAAAAGGGAAAACATGATAACACGTTAAATTCTACCTAATTATGACTGTAGTAATCTTCTTTCAAATGCACTCTGAGGGCAAGACTATTCACAGCCCTCATCAATGGTCTTAGGGAGCTCAAGGGAGGCTTCATCCATACGAGGGCTGCACATGGATGGGGGCTTTCATCATCAATAGCCTTCTGCAAACCAGGTGCTCAGAATTTAAGCTCTAATCCACTTCTCTCCTCTGATCTTGGATTTTATTATTTCTTATCTTTGGATCACATAGGCCTGTGTGCTCTTTCTAGGTGGACTTACCTTATTTTAAGGCAAGCCTTTAAGACCCAGATGCTATTCTTTCTGATAACTAGGCACCATTTGACTTCTCCACTTTGCTTCAGCACCTACTCAGCGGTTCTCAACCTGTGGGTTGCAACCCCTTTGGGGGTCGAACAACCCTGTCACAGGGGTCACCCGATTCATAACAGCAGCAAAATGACAGTTATGAAGTCTCAACGAGAATAATGTTATGGTTGGGGGGTCACCCCAACATGAGGGCCTGTCCTAAAGGGCGGCGGCATTAGGAAGGTTGAGAACCACTGACCTCTATCTGCAGTGATCAATTCTTGAGGCCAACTGCTGAGCACGGCCACGTTTTAAGAATGAGTTGCTCTTAGATTAGGCCTTACAACTACGTGTGAGGGCTTTTAAGACTGTAACCGTTCAGAGGCGGATCGCCGGGCCTTTCTTCTGAAGTGCTTCTGGGTAAGTTCGAATTGCCAACCTGTTGCTTAGTAACTGATTGCTAATCCATTTGTACCACCTAGGAGTACCTAATGGATATTGTTTCTGCCCTCCTGGAAAGAGAGGCCCAGTGAGGCTGTGTCAAAAAAGGAGCTTCTAACCCACCTGTGTTTGTCCCATTAAAAGAAGTGTGCGTCATCCCTTGGTGCCGGGTCCTGGTCTCCACAGATGCAAAAGCCAGGTCAAGGGAAGGGAATTCTTTTTTATCAAAGGAAACGAGCACCTGGCAGGAGACAAGGCAGACACCCTGCCAGCTGGTCCCTGCTCTGCACATCTGCCACCTTCTCTCAGCCTCTGCCCCATTAACAGGGGAGGACAAAGGGCAGGTAGTCTGAGTGCCGGTGAGAATTAAGTGGAAACAGAAACCTACTTGATCAACTCCTTTATTCAGAGTGGTAGAGATCTTCCGCCCCTCAGGATAAGTTAACAGCGATCTAGAGGCTGGTCCTTCCTGCTTATGCAAAGACTGAGAAAGATGAGCATGTGAAACCAAGATGCCCTTACATCTAAATGTTTGATGTGCATGCACATAAAAACGTCCTTAAATTACCGGGTGGGGTGGGTCTCTAAAAGCCAGGTGCACGGGGCTGCAAAGGTAGGTGCCCCTTCCTGCCTCGGTGGGGCCAAATACCACAACTGCACCTAAGGGAGTGAAGAGGGATGATGGGAGGGAGGGAGGGGCGAGAAAACGGTGCTGCTCAGGAACCTGGGGGGAAGGGGAGAAGGCCCGACCAAATCTCACAAACAGCCCCAAAGGTCTACCTATAGGGAGAGGGGCTTCTGTTTTGCTACCATGCAAATAGCTGTAATTCTAGAAGCAGGGATCCGCCACTTAGGAGAGGCAGGTATTCCTTCACGAGACATGGGGCAACTAAGACCCCCTTCTAGCACTAAATGCAAAGACTGAGAAAGATGAGCATGTGAAACCAAGATGCCCTTACATCTAAATGTATTCTGTGACTACAAGACCCCATAGGAAGAGAAAACCAAGAGGTAAAGATTTCCGGAAAGAGCCAGTGAGCACATCCCTTCTCGGAACTCCCTCCTCCTCCCTCTCCCCAGCCGGAAGCCAGAAGAGGCCAGGTATTCCCACTGGGCAGTTCCTGTTTGAGCCTCTGCAGCAGCACCGCAAGCAGGCTGAGGACCACTTGGTCTGGACCACATGATTAGTCAAGAGGGCTCCAGAGATGTTACAACACACTTTCCCTCAGCGGAGAGACGCTGGGACTATGATCTTGTGACTACTGAAGCAACGTGAGGCAAACGGTCATGTTCGGAGGAGGAACTGATGGGAATTCTGAAGCCTGTGGTTTGGGGCCAGCGACAGAAGGTGCTGACTGATGCACAAGAGAAAGGAAAAGCCGTTACAAGAACAAGCATGCATTACAGAAACACCCTGGCCGCTAACAGCTGCTGTGTCTGGAAGCTCTTTCCACTGTTTTATGATGCTGAATGCTGGTAAAACTCCACCCCACCCATCCCACCCCCGGGCCCACGCCCTGCCAAAGAACAAACACAACAAAGCAAAAAGCCAACCCAGTGTCTATAAACAGCTGCCGTTACAATGAACAACATCCTTGGATTCCTGCATCTAGACGAGGGTAAAAATACACAAGGCTGGTACTGTGAATGCACCCAACCGTGCCACAAAAGAAAAGCCGGCTGACCTGCTTCCTTCAAGGTCACAGCCAATGAACATCACCAGCGCACACTTGGATCAACGACTCTACAGCAGAATCCTGATCACAGTGGAGAAAACACAGAACACAGTGTCAAATTCTCACGGATTCTGGAACCAGGAAGTTTGGACAAATCCCTGAAACCCCTGCCCTGAGCTAACCTTGAAACCTTAAACCGAAAATATCTCCTGACATCTTCTTATAACTAAACAGTGGTTTAGCCTAACAATGACCTGGTTGGTGTGCTTAGTGGTGACGAGTTGGGCTACTAACCACAAGGTCAGCAGTTTGAAAACACCATCTGACACTTCAAGGGACAAAGACGTTCTCCTCCCGTGAGAGTTAGTCTCTGAAACCCACGGGGGCAGTTCTACCCTGAGTCAGACTCACCGCACGCATCTGTCTTGGCAGCCACAAGGCAGAAGGGCAGCTTCAATTCCTAGCTGTGTATCTGGGGGCTCCCAGCAGTCCTTGCGCTTCCTCACCCATCAAACACGAAAGGTAGCTGAACTCTAAGGCTTCTCCCAACTCTGCCGAACCTGGAAGCTTCCAGAGGCCTGGCTGCTGGGAACGTTTGTACCAGCATGTTCCAGTCTCAACAGCCTTCTTCACTGCTAGGGTTTAATATGATTACATTTGCAGCAGTCGGTTGAAACTCTCACCTTCTGGGGTTCTCGTAGCTGAAAAATCACACAGTCAGCTCTGCCGCATGGACCCCCAGTGTGCCGGTAGCACAGTGCTGCCTAGCTCAGATCCTGAAGCAGATTTCCAGGACTTTCTTCCAAGGTGCTCTGGATGGACCCTTCTATGCTTAACTGAAGTCCGGTGCCTCGAATGGCCCATGCTTCAGCGAACTGAAGACCAGGGCCTCAAGGGATCCAAAGGTACCGCTCATCACATACTGCCAGACTCCTCCAGGGGGCCAAGCCCCTTCCAGCCTCTGCTACCTACAGGCTGGACATTAAGGGTTGTTGAGTCTGCATTTCCAAAACTATGAGCTGGAATTAAATCCAGCGCCCCATGAGCTGAGCGCCTCTCCTGCTCCCCGCCAAGGGGTCAGAGTGAAGCACAAGGAGGAGACACCAACCAGAGAGCAGAATTCCAAGTGGGGGCAAAAATGGAGGCTGGAGCAACTCTCCCTGCTCCCCACAGGGACAGCAGGGGAGAGGGAGAAGCCAGGGGAACAGACAGGAAATCTCCAGGAATGGCAACGACACAGCCGCAATTACAATTCACGGGCATCACTGAGACCAACCCGTTACAGCAAAGATGCAGACCCGTCTACTCATCAACCTCGTGCCCAAGCATCTGAAGGCGTAGGGGGAAGACCAGAAGGCACTCAAGTTGGTGCTGCATTAGATTGTCTCCACGGACCGCCACGGTTCTTCAGAGCCTCCAGGGATGGGGAGGAAGGCTGAGGGCTCAGAGGTGAAAGCGCGGCCTTCCCGAACGGGATGAGGTGCAAGGCTCCATCGCAGCAGTCACGGGAGAAGAGGAAACGCATGGTGGCTGCTCTCGGAGTTCAAAAGCAGCTCGGCTCCTTTGAGCATCGTGCTCTGGAAGGGAGGTGTGACCCACGGGCACAGGCAGTGCCAGGAAAAGCAAACAGAACATCAAAAGGCATCTCAGGATACAGCAAGGCTGTGAATCGGCTATTGCGGCTCCTCATGGGGCACAATGTGGAGACACCTGGAGAAAAGCGACCCATATGCTACCTGGGGACTAAGCCAGGTTTGAAGAGAAAATAGGCCAGAGGGAAGAATCAGGCCCCACATCCCTGCCTCCGCCCTGGGGGGCAGCGGGGAGACAGGGAGAGGGACTAGTCCCTTGGCCAGTACACAGCACTTTGCCTAGGCAGAATTACTTAATCCAGAGGAACCACTTTGAGGGAATCCAAATATGTGAACCACCTCATCCTTTCTTCTAACGTCCTTGGATATAAGAACTGGAGCCCTGAGAGTTGATGTATACACACCACACACACACAGACGCTATCTCTGCCACACGTAAGTGCTAATCCATACGCGTGGGAAATCCACATAGCCCAGTGGTGATCATTAGGCTTTGGGTCAACTTGGCTGGGACAGGGTTCTCAGTAATTTAGTAGTAATCCCTCAGGATGTGATCTAACACAATGCATTCAACTCCATGGTGGGATCAGATGTGACTTAATCAGTCCTGTGAGCAGCCAGCAGTTGGGGGTCACAGCCTTGATGTAGTTGGAAGGCTCCGGGGAGTTTGACCAAACAATCATGGCGGCACCAATGCTCATTAAGGAGGTGGATGAATGGTTTTCTCTTCTTTAGCTGGCATCGCTAATTACGTCTCACTTGGAATGCCCGCCACCCACCGGCATGTCCTACAGTGTTGCTGTCGAGCTGCATCTGACTCATGGGACCCCAGGGGAGTCACAGTAGAACTTGGGTCACTGGGGTAGTTCCACGCTGACTTTGAGGGGTGCTATGAGTTGGAATTGACTCCATAGCATTGGGTGTGGGACTTTGGTTGGTTTTTGTTTGTCATTTAATAGTCTAAGGGGGAATCCCTGGTGGCTAATAGTTAGCATGTTCGGGTGCTGTCCAGAGGGTTGGAATTTGAGGGATCTTAGAATAAAGCCCAGACAATCGAATTCCCAAGAGATCAAGCCATTGAACGCCCTCCAGGAAGCAGACTGTGTCTCCTTTCTCCTGAGTTGAAGCTGGACCTCCTGGCTCCTGGTTATGTGCCTTCACCACGGCCCCACCAGGGCCCCACTCACTTAAGACAACTTCTTGAAAGACACAATGCAAATATATGCATGGACACTGCTGTTCATCGCAGCAAGAAGGTGGAAGCGGCCCAAAGCCCATCAGCCGAAGAACGGGTCAGGAAACTGGTGCTGACACACGATGGAATAGTGCGTGCCACTGCAAACCACTGACGAGACCACGGAGCACCACCCAACATAGTGAGGCGGAAAACATTATACGGAGCAAACACCAAGACAAAGACAGGCGCGCCTGTCACACAGTCACTCCATCGGCCACCCAGGCAATGGGATTGACCACTTCCTATTTATACATTAGAAAGGCCAGTTCTCCAGCATAGGTATTCCACCTCAGCTGGGCACAGCTCCTCATTGGGAGGGGGCCGAGTAGTCCATGCCACATGGCAGTGCCCTGCAGTCACCCTAACTGGGTGCAAACGCTGACTCGTGGACAAGAAGGGGGTGGGGTGTGTTCATCCTAAGAAGATGATGGCACTCTGCCTGTGGGTGGCGGGAAAGGAGGGGACACTGCTTGCCCTGAGGAAAAATGCTTGTCACTGCTTAAGGACAGCCAAGGGGAGAATCCAGCCTGCATGATCCAGCTAATGATGCTTTTTCAACTGCATCATTGAGTTCCTTTCAACCCCAAGTGATCCAGGCCCTGTCCTATTGCCTTCTCACAGTGTACAAGGTACTACACAGGCCACTCAGGAGGATCTGAGTCAGGAGACCCACTCCATGAACCAGGCTTCCTTAGCCCTGTTGCAGATGAAGGGATGCTTTGAACTGAAAGCTGCACTGCCCTATGAGAGAAGAGGAGGAGGGTCGCCAACCCAAGTCATGAATTTGGAAGCCACCGGACCAGAGGAGGGAATTGAATTAGATCTGAAATTCTGAGCACCTGGTTTGCAGAAGGCAAAGGAAGTCAGTGAAAGCCCAACATCCGCCTGTGGGGTCCCCATGTGGATGAAGCCTCCGGTGAATCCCCTCTGACCACTGGCCCGGGCTGTACATAACTTTGCAGAGGGCCCTGGAAGTGGGCTAATGCAGATGGAATTAGATTTAAATGTAACACCTTATCATTTGCTTTCAATTGTGAACCAGTTTAAATTTCTTCTAGCTTCTATTATCTTCTACTTTCTTTTGGATTGGGTTTGTTTTGTTTTGTTTTTGCTATGCTTTGCTTCTTGGTAGGATTTTCTTTATATGAAATCCAGGAGAGGTTAACCTATAGAGACAGAATTTCTTAGGGCCATGGCAGGGGAAAGATGGGAAGGTAGTAACAGTACAAGAATGAAAGAACTGTTCTAAAATCAATTGTGGCGATGGTTGCAAATGTATATTTAAACCATTGCATCATATGGTACATGAATTACATGCCATTAAAATTATGTGCCTTTTTAATGAAAAACGAATGACCCCTACCATCTGGCGGTACCTTAATCCCGACGCTGTGAGGATGTACAGGGCAGAGATTGTTCCTACAGGACACGGAGAGCCACATGTATTTTCACACCACACATGCGTTCTGTGGACTGAGGGGAGCAACAGGGCTCGTCTGTACTCACATGTCAGGCAGACCATGGCCATCCGCACGGACAGATCCACCAGCAGTCCGCAGCGCTCTGGCGCCCGGGACACAAAAAAGGGGACGAGGATCTCTGCGGGGACGTAGAACTGGAGGGCGTAGGTGAAGAAGATGCCGACGGAGTAGAGCAGCTTCACCGACTGGTACAGCCTGTGGAGGGAGACACGAGACGCTCGGAGGCCTGCCCGCGGGGCCCCCGGCAGTTTGGGGAGAGCCAGCTTGGAGACACAACTTGAGCATGTGCACAGCACACTCACACTCAACATCGATTCGCGGCAGCATGAAGCACGAAGGGCTGAGAACCACCTAGGTGCTGGTGATGGGAAGCACCTGGATAAGACACCTGTGAGCAAGCAGGGGCCGTGTTCACGGCGCACTGTTAGGTGAACAGAAAGGAGTAGTACTGGGTGTGCCCAAACCAGAGTGACCCTGCAGGGCAGAGTAGAACTGCCCCGGTGGGTGTCCAAGCCTGTCAATCTTTACAGGAGCAGAAAGCCTCACCTTTCTCCCTCAGAGCAATTGGTGGGTTTGAACTGCTGACCTTGTGGTTAGCACCCTACAGCATTGTAGCACACCATACCACCAGAGCACCATACGGTGCCTACGGTGAACAACAACTTGCCTAAAAAAGGGAAGAGTGTGAAAACCGCACCGCCCCCAACACTATTATGATCTGACATCCGCTGTACACCTCCAGATGGAAGCATACAAATTGGTACCATGGTTCTCCCTAGAATGGACAGTTGTGGAGCTGGGGCCTGGGGCAAGAGATAAAAGCTTAATTTTCTCTATATATCCCTTGACCCATTAGCGTCTTTGACCAGAGCCACATAGCCTTTATGAATTGATTAAAAATGAAACAGGGTGACAAGATGACTTATTTCCTTCACTTCTAATTCGGTGCTCCCAGTAGCCTGCAGGTGATGGAGCAGGACCCACGGCGGGAGCAGCACCCACCTCTCTGTTCCACCACAGCTGCCTCCCAGCCATCGCTTCCTGGGCAGCTTCCTAGGGAGGCTGCTGACTCGCTGCCGTGGGACTTCCTATGAACAGCCCCGGTGCCCAGGACTATGCAGAGGAGAAGAACGTCTGCGATGGCCAAGTACGGGACCATTAAAAGGTTGGGGCGACCTGCTTCCAAACACAGCCCCACCCCACACCTCAACCAAGACTCTCATGAATTAAGCTGGAGCAATTAGCTTTTGTTGAAAAGCTACAGAAAGGTCAGAGTTATATTTTGAGTGCAATGTGCATTACGTGCACTGCTGTTGAACTTCGTGCCGGCTGTTCTTGGACTACAAGCAGGAGACCAGGAACCAGCTCTGAGGAGTGGGCTCTGCATCGTGTGTGTCGAGAGCTGGGCCACACTCGCAGGGTTTTCAGCTGGATGGCTGGGCCTTTCCTCCAAGGCCTCTGGTGGACTCCATCCCCTACCTGGGGATGTTTACCGTTCGCACCCCCGGGGACTCTGCAAGCAGGAGGGCGCCCTGGGAAAGGCTGAGCTTCGTGAAAGGGCTCCACTTGTTCCAGCAGTTGATCATGAGGGCTCACGGAGAGACCAGCTGGCCAGTATAATTAGACGCAGTCCATCCCCACAGCCTTCTGCTGTGCTGGGCGTCTTGGAGTCAGGACAGTCACCTGTAAGGGCAGGCAGGTGAGCTGCACCCTAGGGGAAGCAGAAGGGCCCAGCAGCTGTTGGGGTGTCAGTGAAAATAGGACAGAAGCCCCGCTATGACTTAGGAATGCGTGGGCTGCTTCTGCAGCACCAGAGCCACTCGTTTTCTGGGGAACGAAGACACCAAGGCACAGAGCCGCCACCCCTGCAGACAAGCAGGAGCTCACTGCTATCTAAAAATAGACACTGGAGGGATGGCTACAAGATGGCTATTTCTGAAAATGCGGGTCTGCTCCTCCGACCCTCCCCCGGGGCTGGCCACACAGCCAACTTAAGTCTCCAGGGCCCCGCTGATTAAGGCAGCTGGTGATAATTGTAGGTATACTGCATATACATTTCCCCAATTTCTCCAGCCCAACTGCACCCAGTGTCTCACTGCTCAGCGCTCTGGACTCCACACGCCAGCCGGCACTCAGCAAGTGTCTCAGTGTCTGCTGAAATCTTCATCTTCCAACCAGAATGCTTCCTCGGACCACACCCTAGCTGCCGCAGCCACTCTGTTCCCCCACAAGGCCTCTACCAATGGTTTCTGGCAGTGAGGCACAAAGCCCTGTCCTTCGCACTACACCTGCAAGTGCCAGGGTCAGACACCGCAGGCGCCAAACCAAGCCTCGCTGGTTGTCTCTTGTCTTTCCCAGCCTCCGTGGACTGGCTGAAGGTGAGTGGACTGCATGCTTGGCCTTTCCAAGGTCAGGATCTCCAGGGAGAAATGGCTAACCACTTAGCTACACCCGAACCATTTAGCCTAGTGGTTACTGTTGGGCTGATAACCTCATGGTCTACAGTTTGAAACCACCAACCACTCCCAGGGAGAAAAAGGAGG